CTGCTTTGTGTTTGTTTGGCAATGAATCTGTGAAATCTTACCAAATGTGGAGAGGACTACTCTCCACAGGACTACTTGAGGTTTGGAAAGAGGAGTCAAAAATCCTTCCTACAGCATTTCGGGGAATCATTGCAGTGAACTGACGATGATAATTGGATTACTACGTTTTGTGTTTAAAAAAACATGTCAAACCTTGGCCATCCATTTATTTTCCTATTGAAATAGTGGGCTGGATGTTGCGCTGTGGTGTATGACTCACTCTCTGGATAGAGATGACAGGATGTTGTTGCAGTTGTTGCCAAACTAAGCATTTTCCATCTGCATCCTGAACCGGTCTTTGTTTTGTTCAGTTTAAGCTTATTAATGTTGCATGTGTCTCTCTTCCATAATATAGATGAGATCCAAAAATAGACAAGTGCTTTAAAGAGGCTTTAGAACCTCACCTTTCACTGAAAAGCATTGTCAAAGTGAATAAAACACTCACTGATAATGAGGAATTATTGATTGTTAAAACAATGCATCTTTATATGTTGTAATCTCTGCCCCTTCTGTGAAGCCATGGAGACCCCGTACCTTCCCAGAGGACTGAATGCCCTTGATGACAGCCAGGCAGACCAAGATCCAAGCCACCAGCAGGGAGAGGGTCATCTTCCAGTTCAGGCCGCCCGTGTCGTCGATGGTGCTGGTGATGTTGAGAGTCTGGCGGTACCAGAAGTAAGTGGTGGCCGAGCTCTTCTCACACTCCGGCACCACGACTACAACAGCAACGATGAGAGAAATGGCATAAACAGTATTGTAAATAAGATTTACAGAAAACTTAAACTTAAAGCACAAGACACACAAAATGGGACCGACTACGGAGCTGTACATCGCTCTGTAGTGCTACTCGTCAAAAACTCCACAGAGTTCCTTTAATCTGCAAAGTAACAAATGCAAGTAACTGTCGGATAAATGTAGTGGAGTATAAACAACAACGGTACAAAGCATATTAAAAAATACTCAAGTAAAGTAAAGGTACTTCATAATTGTAGTTGAGTAAATATACTTACTCTCAGTGCTTCTACTACTGCACATAGCTTAACTGAATCCTGTAAGACGCTCCACAGCATCCCTGCTGCATTCATAATCATAGGCAGAGTTGACATCCTGCCCTCTAATGTTAAGCTGATGCCCTTTACTCTGCCAGAACCCGCATGTGCCTCCACCACAGGCCGCCAGCTATACGAGGTACTGACACTCTCGGCCGGGTCATACCATCTGACAGGCCTCGCCAATAGAGCTGCTCTGTAGGAATGACGCGCAGGGCCGCCTATAGAGACAGCACAAACTCTTTTCTGTTTGCCTGCAGAGGCACAGCGAGGCAAGCTGTTTCAATGCAAAGACATGTTCTGCAGCTTTAAGCACAGCCCTGCGAAGCACTGGGCAGCCTGTGTGCGTCTGCAGAGATGCTTTGCTGAATATGGAATTGTCTTGCAGGCATTAGTATTTCCTCTATGTGGTGTCAAGGGCTTCACAATAGGAAGCTCTTTTGTATGCGCACTTGTCTTGTGCCGCACATCTCCGTTATAGTTGCAGCTGTGTTGTGCGGTGGCCTTGTGTTGTGCACTCACTGGCTTGGGTTCCATTTCTTTGGATGGGGCACTCAGCCCAAGGCAGTGGATACTGGAAAGACTGGACGAAATAGAAGATGCTCCAGCCGATAATCACATTATAGTAGAGCCCCACAAAACCGCAAACCTGAAGAGGGAAATGAGAAGAAAAAGGAATACTTATCACTCCTAAAAAACAATCACTGTCTCGCCACAGAAACACACAAACAGCACTGTCGACAAACAGCATGCATTTTGTTGAGGTGAACACCTCTTCTTGAGTCACAGCACAGACGCTGAGCACACAGCTAAAGTGGATGAATTATTGAGCTGTTTGCTCTCAGCAGCCATGGCTGGGGTCTTCTATGAGAAGGTATTTATAGCTGCTGAATGTCCCTCTGCCACATCCAGGCTGCCACACACCTAACTGTGCCAGGACAGGCCCCCCTCCCCTCTTTATCACTAGATTGATGAAATCGTGATCAAAAGGACAAAGAGAAAGACTGACGCAGTCAATCCCTGACTGTTTTAGGCGGATGGCGCTGATGGGATGGGTGCATGATGGGTCTCTACTCCGGCAGATGATGGGGACAGAGTATGACGGTGATTAACGCTGGTCTTTGCATGCTGCTTGCTGTTAAACATCAAGAGGAAGCAATACGAGCAGGCAGAGGGGAGACCAGTAGACTGAGTGTTACAGCACGTTTGTTATCTCTGCACACAACAAAATTACCATTTTACACTAATCCAATAACATGAAGTTGGTGTTTCAGGATCTCAAATACAGATACATTTCTTCAAAGCCTGTTGTAATCATGTGTACAATAATTATGATACAACATTACTCTTTATGGCGCTTTATGAAAGGGGTAATAAATTATCACGCATAGGTTTATTAACTGTTAATAATTTGTTAATGTGTAACAGATCAGTGATAAGTCATTGAAAGCTAATAAGAAATGGGTGACGCCCCTTTGGTTGGTGAGCATCTCCTGAAATTGTAGCTCATTTTATTGTTTTACAGACTGAATGGCTGACTGGAAAAAATATGTCATGTGTTTTTCCACTAATAATAAGACATCAAATATTAGTAGGTTCATTAATAAATCAGATTTCCTCCAGAAGGTAGGCACTCAAACAGCTTAACAGGACAGGTTTCTTTAAAGAGACAGGTGAGTGGAGAGAGTGGCTGTAGTCGACTTTAATTCATTTCACCTACAATAGATTCCAGTGGGAAGTTTTCATGGCAAAAAAAGCATCAAAATACCACAGAAACTTCTCCAATCTCTCCTGCTGCAAAATGGACTTCCCCACTGGACATTTGACACAGTGAAGACCACCTGATTACATGGTAATTGACATGATTTCATGCTGACCTCATGAATGAAACTCCCATTTTACAGCCAACTTTGTAATGCTGATGTGGTATGATGATGAACATTAGCATGCTATTCTGTTAAGTAAGGATATTGTTGAAATATAACATTTAAATGGGAATAGATAAAGAGGAAAACCTGTACCAAAAGAAGTACCCTATTCCACTTCGCAACTCTGTTGCATGTTGTAAAGTGCGACCAGTATGACATTTTAATTGGTTAATGGGCTCATGTTTGCGCTTACCATCAGACTGGAAACCCCGATGCCTCCCAGCTGTGGGTAGACGTAGTTCCACACCCCGATGCTGCCACGCCTGATCCTCTGACCCACTGCCAGCTCCAGGAAGAACAGGGGGATGCCGATGAGGATGAGGAGAATAAAGTAGGGCACCAGGTATGCACCTGAGATAGAGGAGGGACAGAGGAAAGAGGCATTACTGCAGAGTGTTCAGCTGCTTTGGTTATCTGAATGATAGAAATCCATGTATAGTGAAGTACAAAAGCTCATTGTAAAACAGCAGAAGGGACATTGTTAAATTCTCCCAGTGAGTCTATTCTCTTCATTATTCATCCCTCTCTTCCCTCTCACACTTTTCCTCTTTTTTTGCAGAAGGAATAATGTAGAGGGCACTCAAAGACAACAAGTCATGTCCAGTCCGTCCTTCACGTCAGGACATGAAAGGGCACCATGGTGACAAACCGCAGCAGAGAGGACGGGCTCACGCTGACGGACAGCTGGGAGGAGCAGCTTGTTTCCAGGCTGAAAACAAATGACGCAAAAATACTGATAACGTTGTGAGTGGCTATTAGAGCAAGGAGCAGACAAAGGAAACAAAGACAGACACACAGTGTTGTGTTACACGGTGGCATTATTATCCGGACCGTTAGAAGTGACTTCTGTGTTACTGCCTGCTTTCACTGATCTTTGATGTCTATTCTGAGCAGAACACACACTGAACAGAGGAAATCAAAAAGTGGTTCAAGACCAGCTCAGTATGGTTACCTTGAGGATGGTGCTGTTATTCTAACTACATATTGACATTTATTCTGGCTCTCTGGATTTCTAAGGTTAAAATATATTCTTAATGAAAGTATTTATGGTAAAATCACGGAGATATCAATACAGAACACAGTCAATCTCAGGTTAACTTCAGACTCAATGATATAGATCTGTATGATTGGCAAAATGAGGTCTATTATAACCGGAGGTGTAGCAGCTGCAGACACTTTAAGACTGATTGATTGTCTGACATGCTTTATTTGTTTTTGTTCAGAGCAAATCTGTATAAATAGGTGTTCAGAGGCTAAATCCTCATGTTTTCGGTAACTCTCTGACCTTTTCTGAGCACATTCAGGCTCCTCAGATAGACCCTTTAATCTTGTGCCTCCTGTCGTAATGTCTTCCTCACTTTGCCTTCACAGCTTCATAAAGAACATCATCTGTCCTGAAAAAAGGTTTACTTGGTACTTTTGTCTTCTCTGGACTGCTGCGCTCTGCAGTGAAGACAAATGTTAACTTATGTGATGCAAGTTCCACCAGGAAACACAAGCAAGATACTACAAACTAATTACTTAAATTGTGTATCTGTAGGGCAAGATATATGTCTTCATTGCTCCACTGAGGCAAACTTGGTTAGCTAGGTGAGGTGCGTAAGTCTGTCAACATGCTATTTTGTTGTTGAGTATATAACATTATTTTGTGACTGATCTTTGTGATGACAGAAAACAATGTAAACCTTCACTTGACTAGAATTGCTGAGAAAGAGACAGAAAAAGACAACGTAATGGACAAGAGACGGAGACAGTTTGTCCTCATCTCTGGAACAAGCCCAGACAAGACAATACAACACCTCCCACAGAGTCAGAATCCAGCAGGGGATACACACTCATTACTGCACACACTGATTAATATGGTTCAGCTTTGTTATATCATGCATCTGAAATACCCTCTTTACACACACCTCCTACTCGAGGTAAAACCAACACTGTCTGAAAGCCCAGCAAATCAGTATTTACTCCTCCACTTCCTCCGTCCCAGTCATCGCCCCTTATCATCTCACCATAAAACCAGTAAATCATAATACCAAAGAGATAGGCCTGAGAAACCTGCAAGAACAGCAAATATAAACTAAACAGGAGGATCTCGCAGCGTTGTGCCAGACCCCTCAATGTTGCCTTGTCTTGATGGCGGGGAAACTATCTAATCTTGTAGCTGCTGACGGCACAAGTCTAAAAAACACTGAAGAGACTGCCTCTCTGACTTGGACGATTAGTTGGCTAATTTGTTGACAGGATGCAATTAGTCAAAGAGGAGGAGGCTGCGGACCGTCAACAGGCAAACTGAGCAGGACTTTTATAAGCGAATGGTGAGAGATTAAATTAAGATGCAAATCTACACAAAAACGTTGGTTTTATTTGCAATGTGCTTGAAATCAATAAATTGGATAACACTATACTGGAGTAGAGTTCATAGAATGAATGTGTAGCTGACAAATCTGCCACATTAAAATCCATACCGTAATAATCTGGGCTGCTCTAATTGCAAATTAAGGATCCCCAACAATGCCAAAAAAATGTGGTCTTCAATACTCTGAATTGAATATTAGGTCAACAGAAGAACATTTACGTATTACGTTATATTAGATTATAGTATTATTATTAGTAGTAGTAGCATAGAACAACCTCATGACAATGTTAGGGCGGACATTGCAATATTTCCCCAGTTATAAAACTTTTGCTGAGTTTGTTTGCCGGTCCAGTCAGAGAGACTGAGGGGAAATGAAAAGCTGAAGGTATTTTAAAAACCTCAAAGACTCTGGGCTTTTGAGAAAACATAGGAGGCTGGAATGTTTACATTAAGGTAAGAGTAACTGGTTAGTGTTGTGTGTGTGTGTGTGTGTGTGTGTGTGTGTGTGTGTGTGTGTGTGT